GTGCCCATGTAAGGGCTTACGAAATTTCCATGGGGAAGATTGATAACTCCGGTACGAGGGAAGCTAGAAAGCTGAAATTTTGGGGAATGCTTCCAATCCAAGTAGTAGAACTCAGATATTTCAAATTCAGCCCCAACCTATGCGTGATGCTCATGTAAGGGCTTATGAAAGTTTTAGGGGGGAAGTTGCTAGCTTGGGTACTGGGAAAGCTAGAGAGATGAGATTTTGGAGGGACGTTCCGTATCCAAGTACAAATTAAATATTTCAAACTCAGCCATATTTTATGCGTGGTACTCACGTAAAGGCGTATTAAAGCTTCTATGGGGAAATTCGGTAACCAAAAGAGTTGGAAGGCTGAAATTTTAAGGAATGTTCCCCGTCAAACTGCAATTTGTAAATTTCAAATCCAGCTTTCTGAGCATGTGGAGTACCCAAGCACAAGCATGTGAAGGTTTTGGCGAAAAAATTGCTAACTCGATAACCAGAAAAGCTGGAAAGCTGAAGTTTTGGGGGAATGTTCCCTGACTAAGTACAACTCAAGTATTTCAGATGCAGCCTTGAGGTATGCATGGTTCTTACGAAAGGGCACTTGAAAGTCTTGGCGAAAAAGTTTCTCACTGAACAACGAGACTACTTCTAAAGAACGACTGTACATATACTTTGCAAAATTTATGATGATTTATGCTAGTGACCGCAAAACGTAGCTGTGAAGTAACAGCAATTCATACCTGATTACTTCCAGTCCGGTGCAAAAACGTATGACCGCACGGGCCCGCCCAATGCGTTCCAGCCTGCGTTTTTTTTAATGTTACTATCATTAGCAGTACTTGCTTGCCTTGAGCCGCTCATTTATTATGTGTAACTTGAAAACAATTTGGCATTCGATAAATCGGTACCAGATAATGCGTACTGCACAGTGTGATCATCATACAGACGACGAATAAGTGGACAAACAGAATGCGTAAGCCAAACTACAATCAGCACCCGAAAATTGACAGTCAAGGAATGACGGCTAAGACGGTTTGCAAGGTTTTGCCGTAACAATACGAGAAAACCAACCAGGCAAAACGGTCAATGCAATGACAAAAAAGTAACTATAACAAAGGGACCGACGAGGGAAGGATGCTTGAAATAATTCTTCGAAATCGTATATGTGGCCTGACTTTCCATCACGCTCACAGAAAGCAAGATGTGTGAAATCTGTTGGACACAAAGTGTCGCCGTAGAATTTTTTCCTTAGAAGAAAAACAGGCCGG